AAAATCACAGACCACATAAATACTAGTTTCTTCCGTAAAAAATAAATGAAAATTACTTTAGCTTTTAAGTGTTGCTGCTTTTTGGACTTTTTTAATAGTATCGCAGTGTTGCTGGAATTAATTTAACGTATATACCACGCTTTTGTTTTAAATAAACAAATAAAAAATGCAGGTCACAATAATTTCTTTAATTATTTTGCTAAGCTCTTTATTTCAAGCTTATATCTAGCAAAAAAATTGAGGCTGGTTAAATTTTTCTGAGAATAAAGTACCAAGCTCCATACTAATTCGGTACAAGTCCTTTAAAAAACAATTTAAAATACTAGTGTACAAAGGCGAGCTTATCCCATAAAGGGATACCTTCCTTCCTCTTCTTGCTTTGTAAACAATGAGACGTTCAAAAACTTCCAGCCGATAACCCTGTCTTATGAATAACGTTTGTAATCATGTGACGTCATTTCGATTCGGTTTCGAATACGACAGTTTGACGTTCGCATGTTGTGAATAAAAAGAAATCGAATCAGTCGACAACTGAGTTATCGTAAGGTTCTGCATCTATCCCCTGCTCAGCATTCAGAGAACCTATTACTAGTAACTATTGAGTAATCTATGCTATTACTAAATTAAGCCGATTGCCAATCGCGTCATGTGGACCGATAGACGCATATCCAATCCAACGATATTACCGAAAGCTCGTTGGCCAAAGACAAACGGGAAATCCACACACGGCTTGTCACCTCGCTTTGATGGGACGTCGGAAACACCCCTAGACTGTTATACAGCAGCTTAACGTAGCTTCACTGTCGAATGCTATCACGGCCTTCATTTCATCCGCTGTTACACAAAGGCCAAACCACAATTTTCAATTATTCAGAACTTCGGTATGGCTTCCGTGAAATTGCAATGCTCGCTGGCAGTTAAAAATAGAACCTTACGATATATTCACAGGAGTGAATATTCAATGATAGTTTCATAACAGGATTCCTCGTTTATTGGATGAAATATTCAGCTTTCACAAAGTTCGCGATGATTTTACGTAAAATTGTGACACACATATGTTATGTGACACAAACTTAATGAGAAAAATGCCAAGTTGGAAACAAAGCATTCGCTGCTCTTTTATATAATAATTGTAATCGGAATTAGTGCAAATTTCTGGTAATAGTACATTATTGCAGAGCACTAGTATAGATGTAAAGATACATCATTGCCTTTTCTCGATCAATGCGAGGAAATAATAAAAGACTAACAAGGGGAAGACGGATAATAGATAAAGTAAAAAGAAAGTAATATTGGACATGTTACTACAATTGTTAAAATAAAATATTATTGTTTCCTAGACACATTAATAGCAGTCCGCTGAACTTCCGTAGATATAGTTGAGTTTCTGGATATTCATTATTTTTATTCTCACTAGAATTAATTCGCAACGGAAATACAAGAAAAATACGAAGAAATAGAAAAGAATATCAGAGTACTTTAGTCATTGACCTTTATTTATATTATCAGGGGGCTGTGAGTATGTGCGTGTTTTTATTTTCCCGCCATTTTCTTTTTTTTTTAGTGGTACTGGTAGGTATTTTAATTACGAACAATGGTCAGTTGGCTGTATGAGTTTTTTATTTTGCCTGTTTACATAGTTCATTGTTAGTAGGTAGATTTAAAAGTTTTG